TTATTTAAATATCTAGCTTCGATCATTATAGGCATTTTTAATTTCTAGTATGATATTGATTGTTGTCATATGTTATGGTTTAAAATAAGATTGTTATTGTTTATAAATACGATTTAAATAAAAAACGTGAAATAATAAATTTATCTGAAAGAAATTAGGTTACACGTAATATTATACGTCAGATAGAATTAAATATATAATGCATATGAAGCACGACAACATTTTATTTTATTTCGAAAATATTTTTATATATACTAAAAACATATTAACGTATTACACTTATAATAAAAAAACATACAACATTACACTAAGGTTAAGTTTTATTCTTTCTAAACCATTACTTTTATTTTAACTTCTGTGCGCATTTTATAATATAAAATAAAATAAAAATTAATAAATAAAAAAAATTAATGCGCGTTCTATAAAAAAAATAAGTTTTTTTTTAAATATTATTCATGTGCTTTCTTCTTGATATAAATTTATGAAATAATTACAATTTTTATTAGAAGAAAGTCATCGATACCGACATACCACTTTTGTTTTTAGACAATATTTCTTAAATAAAAGATAAAAATAAAACTTTAAAAACATAAGAATAAACAAAAAAGTGTCTTCCATCAGATAATATAAGCAATTTTTATAATACTGTTGTAATTTTGCAATAATTAATTTTTTCTTAAGATAAGTAAAAATGAGCATCTGACAAAACTGACATAATGGGCAGTAATGTCATATAATCCTATTCTTTTTCTTTTACCAAAATTATCTGTATAAAAGATCTATAAGTGAATGTATATAAGATATTCTAGAATCTTTTCATTTTGTTATAAAACATTTTTATTGGATCATATGCATATTTACCTTGTGCTATTCTGCAAGATGCAATACGTAATGCGATAGTTTTTCAAAAGTTTTTCCATATATGCACAATTGTCTTTAGTTTCAATAGAGCTATTTGATACTATAAAGCAACATTATAAAGATTAAGTTAGCTCTATAAAGATTATGCGTTTCGCGGGTTTCCTCCGTGTCCAGATTCATTCTTGAAATGCCAACGTTTCGAACTTTGCAGTCCACTTCATCAGGGCGAGCCTGATATTGAGTTGTTTTTCCGGGCCGTTTCTTTTATATTATGCTACTTATTGGAGTGGTGGAAGGAAAGAAGAGAATTATGAGTAGGGGGGCGAAAAGATGGGGGAAATTGGTCGGCTTTCAATAACAGGGAGAATGGTTTTCTATATTTTATTTATGTTGTAGCCATTATTTCTATTTAAATTGTTAGGGTGTTTTTGTATCTCTATGGCTTCTCTATATTACTTTTTTGAAAAGTATGATGTAATGTTGGCTATTGTGGTCGTTTTGTCAAACAGTATTTGATGTCCTGTTTCGATGTTGTGTTGTGATAATGTTATCTGCGTGACGTGTTTTAGCCTGACATCACGTTGGTGTTCTTTTATCCGTAGATTGACCATTCTCCCGATTTCTTCAATATATACTTGCCCGCAGGAACAAGGTATTTTGTATACGAGTACTCCTGCGGAGCTGAGTGGAGGTCTTTGATCTTTAGGATTTCTCAAGATTTGTTTTATCCTTTTGAGTGGTTTAAAGATAGTTCGGATATTGTGTTCGGATTCATTTAATATTCTGACAATCCGATCTATTGTTCCTTTGACATATGGGAGAATGGATAGGATCCTTTCATCTGATTGTGTGTCAGGTTGTATTGTTTGCATGTTTATTGATTGTTTTGATTATGTCTGTTTTGTTGTGTCCGTTTTTCTGTAAGTCTAATTTTAAGTGGTTGAGTTGTGTCTATAGATGTTCTTTGTCAGAGATGGTAAAAGCTTTATGTACAAGTGAGTTAATTGCAGAATGTTTTTGTGCTGGGTGGTGCTCTAATTAAGTTAGCTCATGATTTGTTTTACAAACACATGTAGCGGTTTACGTTGCTCCCCAATTAAATTTAAAATCATATAATAAAAAGACTAAAAGAGTAAATAATATAAATAAAACTAATTTAGAAAGTTACAAGCATTTAAAATGACATAATATTATTAATAATATAGTCACTATTATTTAAACTACGCAATTTGCAAAAGAAAATAGTTAAAATTTTATTTTTGCATTTGTAGAATTCGTTTTTCGCTGATATAGAAAAAAGTCACCAATACGAATTATGAGTTTCTTCTTTAATTAGCTAAACAGATTCTATTAATATTAATAAAATGCAATAGTTAGTTTCTGAGAAATAAGGGGGGGGGGGTCATTTTAGAAAATCTATGTCAGTATCGGCGACTTTCCTCTAAGCATTTCATTTTATATAATATATATAGTTATACATTCAGTTTTATTTTCATTTTGTTTTGCAAAACATATAGTCATATATTGAGTTTTATTTTTATTATATTATTTTTCATCCTATGCGTTAATAATAAAAAAATATTGCATGCGTGTGCTAGTGGGTTCTATAAAAAAAAAAACAGTGTTACTACTTAAGTAATTATTTATGCGCTTTAACCTTGTTTTAAATTTCTGAAAGTTATTACAATTTCTATGAAGCATTCCGTTTTGCAAACTATATATATAGTAATAGTATAGCCATATATTAAGTTTTATTCTCAGTATGTAATTTCCAATATTTAATTATTTTTACTAGCTTCTGTGCGTTTTAAAATACAAATAATATACGCGTTCGTACTACGTGTATTATTAAAAAAATAAATAATTTTTTAAAAATTATTCACGCGTTCTCTTTTAAATTTACTTTTAAATATTCTTACAATTTAAATTAAACATTACGTTTCGTGATATAAATGATAAAAAGTATTAAAAAAATAATAAGTTAATAAAAATCTAAAAAAGTTTTTTAATAGCTGCTTGAAGTACTAGTAGTCAGATTAATACATTGTTCAATAAATATTTTAACAGCGAAATTACTGAGTTATGTCAATTTTAAACAATTTTTAATCTGATCGCTGTCACCGAAACAGTAAAATACCACGTAACAGTCTTTTCAACCAATAATTTAGATTTTCTGATAGTTCTATATATAGTTATAACGCTTTCGATATGTCTTGCACAGAAAGTTGTCGTCCTTAAGTATTATTAAATAAATTTTTAATCTTGCTGGTAGCACATTTTTGATAAGTATGCGATGTCAATAGTACTTCGTTTTATCGCAGTCCTTGATAGTTTTCGCACAGTAACGACGGTTGTAAAAATAGGAATCATGATAAAAACCTCTAGAAAGCGTTGGAACTATTGCAGAACTATAGAAAAATAACAAAACGTTAGTTGGAACTGGTTGTTACGTGATAATTTATTGTTGTGATGCGGTACCAGTGTTCAAATTGAAAAATTATTTAAATATACTTAAAGGCAAGAACTCTTATTAAAACTTACAGAAAATGTTAGAACTATTATAGAACTATAAGAAAATAGCAAAAAGTTAGCTGGAACTGGCTATGGTACTTTACCTCGTAGTGGGGTTACAGCTCTTACATTAAGTAGGTTAAAAATACTTAAAGGCCGAACTGTCGCTAATAATCAGGAACTATAGAACTCTTCGAGAACAAGAGAATTTCGCGATGAAAATAATTTTTTTTTAAACTTGGGCTGCCAATCGTCATATCAAATATTTATTTTAAATATTTAAAGAGCAGAATTTTTGTTAAAACATATTAGGAACTACAGACTTAGGAACTCTTCGAGAAATGGAGAATTTTATAATAAATTTTTGCTATCCTTATGCCACGCGAAAGGCACCTCATTAAAAAAATTCTTTTTTTTAAACTAAATTAGCGCAATTATTGTTGAAATCTAGTAGGTAGAACTAGTATTGTAGGTGCAAACCATGGTGAAAGAGATAATATGGTGTGCAGTTGGACGGTGTTTCTCTCTAAATCTCCACCCTTTCTGTCTACGAATGTTCATGAAGTTCAAGGCTACAACTGTGAAACGTGAAACATGCGGCAGTATTCATAATTTGTTTTTATTTTAAAACTGTCTTAAATATAACGTCTTAAAATTTTAATATAGTCCTCGAATTGATTTACGACATCTTAAGACTATACTTAAGACAAGATTGTCCTTGCACAAGGAAAGATTCAGTACTAACTTCACGACGCAAAACATGTATTATGAGTTGATTGTTACATTTAAGATTATCTTAAGTATTACATTATATTTAAGACAGTTTTAAAATAAAAATGGACTATGAATGCCGCCCCCCCCCCATGTTTCGTATTTCATAATAATAACCCTTGAAGCTTATGAACATCCATAGACAGAGAGACCGAAGATTTAGAAAGAGAAAGAGACATCGTCTAACTGCACACATCATGTTATCCCTTCCATCATGGTGCAGACGGAATGTATAAAATTTCGATTTTTTCAAAATAGAGTGCCAACTTCATACCGGCACATAAAATTTTATCGAATTTAACTTGGCGTCATTTGTTGATGTCGAATCTTTTATACAAATGATACAATGATCATTAGAGTTAAGTAAAAAATAATAACAATAGTATCCATTATAATTACTTTCTCAATAAGCATGAATTCTTAGCGCCTTTTTTTACCTTCTTTAAAAAGGTAAGATTTTAAAATTTTTATGTAATAATTCAAACTTTAAACTTTTGAAGATGCAGATATACATATTACTATTAATTATATACATAGAGATATCGATGACAAATAAATTGCTATTTTATTATTATTGTATTTTCTAGCTTAGTCAATAAATACCAACGTATAATTTCATTTCCATCCGATCTCATTTGTCAAATAATAAATTATAAATAAACCGAGATCAAGATCGAATAGATCGCTTTTTCATTATTACTTCCTAGCTTAACAAATACCAGCGTATAATTTTATTTCTATCAGTTCTCTTTTTGTCAAATATTAATTTATAAACAAATGGATATTGGAGTCGAATAAATTGCTTTGTCATTATCATCTTATAGCTTAGAGTTAATTTATACAAATACCAGTGTATAATTTTATTTCCGTACGATATCCTTATGTGCAATATTAATTATAAACAAATACAGATCTATGACAAATATAAATTAGTTCTTCATTTCTTAGCTTAGTTAACAAATACCAGCATATATAATTTTGTTTCCATTCAATCTTCTTCTGTTAAATATTAAGTCATAAACAAATGGAGATCGAAGTCGAATAAATCACTTTATCATTTATACTCGTATCATCTTCTAGTTTAGTTAACAAATATAAATTATATGTTTGAATTAATTTTCGCTGTTGATCGAGAGAAGTCAGTATTTGTGCTATTTCAATATAGCCGAAAGTGATTACTGATGCATACTAAAGTCAATAGGCTTTAATAATCAGTACGTAACATTTGATCGGATGCAAAGAACACAATTTTTTATCGCATTAAAAGTGTCGGGTTTTGTATCAAAAAAAGAGTATTTGCGGGAAGCATTACTTTTCTGTTTTAATCTTAAGAAATCTGCTGTTGAAAGTTATCGTTTGCTAGTGAAGGCTTATAGGCAGCATGCTCTATCCGAAATAACTTGCAGAGATTGGTAGAAGATTCAAAAACAACGATTTTTATGTGAATGACAAAGAACGCCCTAATCAGCCGAAAAAGTTTGAAGATTGAGAATTGGAGGCATCACTTCAAAAAGATTCATGCCAGACGTTCAAAGAGTTGTCGAAAACATTAAATGTCGATGACCCAATCGTTAGTAAACGTTTAAAAGGTTTAATGAAAATGATCCCGAAGCTAGGGAACTGGGTCTCACGTGAATTAAAATAAAGAGACATTGCACGTTTAGCTGTTTGTGAATTGCTGTTTCAAAGAGAAAAATGGAAGTCGTTTTTGCATCGAATTGTGACTGGCGATGAAAAATAGATTTGTTACGACACTCCTAAGCGCAAGAAATTATGAGTGCATCCCGGCGAACCATCAACATCAATGCCAAAATAGAATATTCATGGAAAGAAGGTCATGCTATACATTTGGTGATATATAGTGTACTATAGTATGAGCTGCTGCAACCGAGTCAAACCATCAATGCTAAACGCTACAGAGTACAATTATTCAATTTGAATCGAGCACTAAAAAAACGCCCGCAATACGCCAAAAGATATAAAAAAGTTATTCTTCTTCATGACAACGCTAGACCACATGTTGCAAAACTAGTGAAGGAAATCTTGGAGACATTTGGATGAGATGTTTTACCTTACTAGCCCTATTCACCAGACGTTGCTCCTTCAGATTACCATTTGTCGATGCAACATGGTCTTTCTGAGCAGCACTTCAGTTACTTTGAAGATATCAAAAAATAGCTCGATGACTGGATCGCCTCAAACGAACCTGATCTTCTAATTCTGATCAAGTCAATCTGTTTTCATAAGCTGGGAATAACACATCTCCGACTTAGTTTATAAGCTTGCCTGTATCATCATTGAATAAAGTTTCGTCAGAAGACAGTTGTCGAATCTTTTTAATACTTTACATATTACGGTGCGTCTCGCTCGTAACAATTGGTGGCAGCGGTACCAAACTGTTTATAAAAGACCACAAGCTAATCAACTCTACTTTGGAATCATCTCCAAGTAAGACAGAATAAAGAGACACATTGTTGGAAGAAGCCTGAATCGAGAAAATCTCACAATCCACTGAGGTAGAAGGCTGAAGACTGATGGCAGTTTCTATTGGCAAGTGCAGCGGATACAATATCGTTCCTGCGATCCAGACATCCCATCAATAAAACTTTGACGGACTACAGCAACAACTCACGATTTTTGTTCAAAGAAAAAGTATTGAGGACCGGAAATTACCACAAATTAACGGGACGAAAGAGCGAGAAAGCAACATAAAGCATCTCCGCCGGAACGTGACAGTCTCTTCTGGATGGAGTTGACGGCAACGGTAAGACTCCGTGAACGGTCAACATGAAAAAAGGATCATCGAACTTTGGACATCTCAATCATTAAATCTTGGACATCTCAGACATCGAATCTTCAACCAACATTAGAGACTTAGAGGTCAGTCATGCTGTATATTGTACTACTAATGTAAGTCTTTATGAACTATCGAAATCCTAGCGTACATTATAAGTATTGTACATTATCAGATACTTCAGACGAAAGTAATTCAAAAGTGATAGATAGCTTCGAATCTAGTTACATTCTTTCACCATTAATTGTGAACGATCAGACGTCATCGCAGTTAGAATCTCATGTCGAAAATATTCACGTAAATACAGATCAACAAAGTCGTAGATCCTCGACTTCAATAATTAATAGTTATTTTTCCGTTCACCATAGTTTAAATCTCTTATCTGTTTTTAATGAGAAAAATATTCTCATCAATTCATATCTGATTGTAAAGAAGTTTTAGAACTCGTAGAGCTCGAAGAAAAATTATTTTTCTTTAGAGTGATTCTTCTAACTATATATAAATTAACGATGCTGAGTTAGTTAGATCTATGTACACAATAACGAATCTTGAGGAATTATGTGAAACACTTATAAAAGAATTCGGCAATTGTAAAAACGTTCGAACAGTGAGAATTAAAAATAAGTACGTTAAAATCTTAGATAAAAAGCCTTGTTATAGGAAATGCTTAATTTTTGAGATGCTCAACATTAAGAAGCCGAAAAACAACTTGAATTTACAAACGGACACTGAAGGTCTTCACAAGGCATATTTATCCATTGTAAATAAAGTTTGACTTTTTTTATACTGGCGGCCCGTCTCTTCTCTCAGTGCGTGGTGATCTGTTTCAGCGAGCCTGCACATTAGTCGATACACAATGTCCGTTTTTCACGCGTTCCACTCGTTTTTATGTTTTTTTACTATTTGCTATATTTATATAGATACTCGTACATTAGTTTTCATAATTTACAATTTAATGTTTGTTGGTGAGTTTTTACTTCTTATCATAATTACGGTTACTTTTTATCATAATTTACGCAATGCCAAGGCTAGTCTTTGAATTGCACAAATTCAGTTTACCTGATAGAACCGGAATTCGAATATATGCAGTCACAGCAAATTCCCGAAATGTTATTTCCATTCCCTTTTACAAATTCAGAAACCCAACAGATAGATTCTTGTTAGACACGGGAGCCCACATAAATACCATAAAGGCAAACCCTTTACTCCGTGACACATCAAGACAATAAAAGTTGAAATATAGGGCATTACAGAAAAAAAACAGCATACTCTTGGAACTGCATATTTAAATTCAGAAAATGACATTCACGAATTTCACGTAGTATCGAGTAAATTTCCATAAAAGAACAAAGCATTATAGGTTCAACCTTTCTATGCCTTGAAAATGCGAAAATAGATTTTGAAAAACAAACGGTTACAATTCGGAATAATAAAATATATTCATTAGAATACAGTAATTTAATAACCGTTAGGAGCATGTGCTCATACGAGTATACGAGGGTGGTCCCAGAAATACCCGACCTGACATACAGATGGCGGTTGTTGTATAAAAAAAATCACTATAGGGGAAAGCACCAACTTTCTAAAGCTTAACTATGAAATTTGAAGACGCTACGTTGTTCAGTATTTGTTTGGTAGCCATCAATAGTGGACGATCTCGGTGAATTTGCAAAGATGGAAAAAATTGGTCATCGTTATGTGATACAATACTTTCATTTGAAAGGTCTTAGCCCAACCAATATCAAAGCCGAGCTGGATTCTACTCTGGAGGAGTCTGCTCTTTCGTTTACAACAGTAAAATATTGGGTGGCAGAGTTTAAACGAGGCCGTACGAGCTGCGAAGACGAACATCGCAGTGGTCGACCAAGTGAGGTGGCCATTCCAGAAATGGTGAAGAAAATCCACAAAATGGTATTGGGTGACCGTCGATTGAAAGTGCGCGAGCTAGCAGACATGGTAAACATTTCAAAAAGTGCTGTACATCGCATATTGGCTGAAAATTTGGAGATGAGAAAGCTGTGCGCAAGGTGGGTGCCGCGCTTGCTCACAATCGAACAAAAGCAGCGTCGAGAGGATGTTTCAATCGAGTATTTGGCGATGTTTCGCAGCAACAAAGCCGAATTTTTGCGCCGATTCATAACCATGGATGAAACATGGGTCCACCACTTCACACCTGAAACGAAGGAACAGTCGAAGCAATGGACTGAAAAGGGGGAACCGGCTCCGAAGAAAGCAAAAACAGTTCCATCGGCAGGCAAGGTCATGGCGTCAGTTTTCTGAGACGCGCGTGGCATAATTTTCATTGATTACCTTCAGAAAGGAAGAATAATCAATGGTGAGTATTATGCGAACTTATTGCAACGTTTGGGTGATGAAATCAAGGAAAAACGGCTACATTTGGCGAAAAAGAAAGTATTGTTTCATCAAGACAATGCACCAGTTCACACATCCATTATCGCGATGGCCAAAATCAATGAGTTAAAGTTCGAATTGCTTCCCCACGCACCCTATTCGCCAGATTTAGCCCCCTCGGATTATTTTCTCTTTCCAAACTTGAAAAAATGGCTCGGTGATAAAAGATTTACCAACAATGAAGAGGTGGAGTCTGCGGTTAATGGCTATTTTGAGGAGTTCAACGGTTCTTACTATAAACAGGCCATCGAAGCTATTGAACATCGCTGGGAAAAGTGTATCGAGCTAAAAGGAGACTATGTTGAGAAATAAAGATATTTTTTCCCAAATTTTTTGTTTTCTTTGTTAGGTCGGGTATTTCTGGGACCACCCTCGTATAATTAAAACTAATCAAAATAATATTGATATTAGGTTAATAAATCAACAAGAAATAATGCAAGGTGTTTTTCTTGTGCACAGCGTTATAAAAATAAACAACAGTAATGCACGTACATATTTAATTAATACGACAGAGAAAGAATTTAATATTGAGACACCTGTAATTAATGTAGACTCAGTGTTAATTGACACGAGCTCGAGGGACAGCCTTACATTCGCAATAAATTTAGTGATCTCGAATAACTTAATGGACAATGTAACGTCTGGGTATCAAAAACCGGCTG